TCTCTGGCTTTGAACAACAGATCTAAAAATACCGGATAATGCATATGCCATGGAAGTTTCAAATGGATTGCCCATAAAATTCCCTAACTCTGTTACATAATCAGCTCTCTCTCTCTGTAAGGTGGGAATTAATTGGCAAGCTTTTTTGTTGATCACAGAAATGTGCATTTTTAAAATAGTTTAAGTTTTTTAACGTTGTTTTTAAAAGAAATGTTTGCAAAATCTTCTTTTCCTCTTCCCCCACCCAACCCGGTTACTTACTTTTTACCTTTCATGTTTCAGAGAAAGCAATCTGCCTGTGAATGTTAGAAAGTGGCTCCTGCATTGTTCCTTTTGGTATGCTGAATTGTAAATGTGTGTAGTGTGCAGGGGAGCACCGAGGGCAAACCATGCATATACAGATAAAAGAAACAGATCCTGCGCCAAGCACTGGTGGCCGAGCCTCTTTCCCTTCATTCAGGCACAGTCTGTGAATACCACTGGTAAATTCTTAAATCACATACTCACCACATTGAAAAGGATTTTTCAGACAGCCGTATACTTCTAAGTTGGCAGAAAATAAAAACACATTTTGAAGCAATGAGTGCTAACAAACAAAATACAGGATGGTAAATGGTTTTAAATTACAAATCCTTTGGTTCCTTCTTAAATACGTATTTTCTAACAACAATAAAACACATCTTTCTTAAATTGTGTTTTATACAAGAAATAGCAATATTGTATCTTTTAAAGCTTTAACTGTGATTAGAAGTTTTAATTAATTTTTTTAGAACAAAAATAGTCAGCTGCCTCAAAAGATTACTAGTGGTGCAAAGTTAACTGGACCCCCAGGCTGCAGCACCTTTTGTTCTAAAATAGGAATGAGATAATTTGCAAGTAAGTAATTCTGAAAGACATCTTCTGTTAGGAACGTCTCAATGACTCTTAATATATGTATGTGTATATTTTTTACAAAAGGATGACTTTGGAACTTTACATAAATTATCCTTACTTTTTCTGATTCTAGACACGTCATCATGTTTCATTCCTGCAGTGATAAGCTTTGGGTAGCACCAAAGTTATTTTTGTTTAGAATCTTTTCACTGCTTCAAAAATAAATCATAATTCTCTGGGCATCTCTGTCCCCCGTTAGACTAAACATTTTTGCATATAATATTTGTTCTGCATGACATTATCAGTAGCTTTCCATTTTACTGCTTGTAGATGGACCTACTGCTTGAATTAATATGTCATTCCCAGAGTGATACAAAGGGATGATTTACTTCGTTTCTAAAACATTGTAAACTGACGGAGCTAAGTGGTAACTTCCGGCATGGTCTGTTTATTTCCATCGCATTTAACAAAATTACAATTTTGAGACGATCTGATTCAGGTTGGAATAATTTGGTTTCCACACCTATTTATTTTAAAAACATTTTTACTTAGTTATCTTAGGAACGATGCTGAGTGTGACTGGGTAGCACACTAATGGGGCATTCCTCGACTTCACAGGGAACAGAGTGTCTGCTATGCTCCATGGACAATCTGCTTGGAAATAATTAAATGAGAGAGAACTTAAAAAAAATAGTTTGCCTAAACTATCCTCAAACAAGCATGGAAACAGCTCGGCCAAGACTCAGCCCCAGTGTATTTTGGGCCTGTTGCAAAATGTGACCAGGAACTGTGAAAAATACAGGCTTGAGAAGAACTTTAATTCTACCATGGGTAAAATACCGGAATATTCTGCATCTCTAAATAAATTCGAGCAGCAACAAGAGGAATTCAAAATAGAACTTGTGAATAATTTATCCCATCTTAGGCTTTCAAATATAGGCGATATAGCCCTCTACATGTTTACACTATTAAGTTCACCATGCTCACATTTCTGAAGTGAAATTAAAAATGAATAGCAGCGCCTCAGCTTGTTAATTGTTAAATACAAGGGGTTTTACTCTATTAATTAAAATATGCTTTAATAAAAGGAGACACTGCACATTTTGATAACGACCCTACAAAGCTGAGAAGTATTTACATTGTTGCATTTTGGGGCGGCTGTGAAAGCCGATTTTAAGCTATTCAGGAGCCACAATAATAAAGCTTTAAAATTCCTCACTGGGATGCAATGTAGTTCTTTTGAAGGAAAGACTGTCTTTCTCATTCGGCAGAAATAAATCCATTCATTTGATCATGTAGTCATTGAGGGCGATACAAAACAAGCCAAGTGTGAGAAATTCTATGTGATGAAGTAAACAAAACAAAAAAAATCCATTTCCATGACAAAAAGATTCTTTGTCCTTAATCTACCCACCATATGCAAGCGTTTCTTTTTAGCATATCGCCTGTTCTAATCTTGGCTGACTTGGCTACGCAGATAAGACTCCCTTACCTCCACTGCAACAAAAAGCCCCCAGCAAGCTCACTCATTTTATTTAATTCATTAATTCTGCAGCCGCGTCACAAGCCTGCTCTCGCGTTCTCATCCGACATGGGTGTCTACCTGCTTTGTCAAACTTTCCTCCACTGTGTGGGAAACTCTTCCGCCCCGTTTCCTTTTCGCAGACAGTCTCATTCTCACAGTAAAAAGATCACCATCTGCCTCCAGCAACTTGTAACAGGTCAATCATAAAAGTTGGCCTGCCTATTTTCCTAAGGAACAAATTATTTTACGTTCGAGCTGTGCTGCAGACTCGGGGTCGCGGCGCCGCCCTCCGGGGCCCTCCTTCCTGCCGCCCTGGGGGCTCCGCGGGGCGCACCGAAGCCTGGGGCTGCGGCCTGAGGTTTTAACTCGACCATGGGGCCCGGAGCACCCCAAACTCGGCGGGGCTAAAGTGCCACTCTGGGAAGCCCAGCCCTCCGCCGGACTCTAACTTGCGCGGCGCCTGCCGTTCGCTTTTGGAGGTTCCAAGAAGGAAGCTCCCAGCAGCGAAACGACTGCAAAGGCGTCTCCAGCGCCCGGCCTCGGTGGATCCAGAAAGACGGGAGAAGGCCCGCGCAGACCCTGCAAAGCCCCGGAAACACGGGGATTCTGCCGCGTGCACAGGGCAGGCCCCAGGCCGCCGCCGCGCTCACCCCAGCCTAATTCCCCAGGCGGCCATTAGGCAGGGCCGAGACCCCGACCTTCCCCTCGCCTCGCAACGCGATCTCAGGACGCGTCCACGCGCTGGGACGCGCGGGTCACCCGAGGCCGGCGGTGCAGGGGGCCGGGGGCGCAGGCGGGGCTGGGGAGGTGGCGTGGGGCCCCCGGGACCTGCGGCGCCGAACAAAGCTGGCTGGGAAGGCGGCGGGGTCCCCGGCCCGCGTCCAGCGGTAGGTGGGCTCCGGTCGCCTTCCCCGCCGCCGCGCTCGCCTCGGGGTCGCTGAAGCCGGCCCCAGCGTCCGGGTGCAGAGACCCTGGAGGACGGCGCGAGGCCTGAGGCGCCGTGGACTCCCTCCCGCCCCGGCCTCCGCCCGGGGCCGCGCGGGCTCCGTGCCGTCCTCGAGCCGGCCGCGGCCTCGGCTCCCTCCGCGCGCAGCTCCCCAACTCCGAGGAGAGTACGCAAGTTTACTTCGCCCACAACTCCATCCGCGGCCGCGCGCGCTCCGCCGAAGCACCCGGGTCCCCGCGGCCGACCTGGCGCGGGGCGGGCACTTCGCTCGCGGGAACCGGGGAACTTTCTCCAGCTCCCGGACGCACGCGCGCGGCCGCTCCCGCCGCACGCGCTTCCCCAGCCCGGGCAGGCAGCCCCAGACCCCCGGCCACCCCGGAGCCCCGGCCCTCACCGTGCTCGGGAGCCCCGTCCGGCGGCGGCAGCTCCTCGTCCGACTTGAGGTGCTGAGGCTTGGCCTGCTTGCGCCGGGACATGCTGCTAGTGGCGCTCGGGCCCCGCGCGGGGCAGCGACATCAGCGGGGCGGCCGGCGGAGACGGCGCGGGGAGGGCGCGGGGCGCGGGGCGTGGGGCGCGGGGCGGCGGCGGCTGCGCGGGCCGCGCATGGGGCTGAGCAATTAGGATGGTGAATAATGCATGGCCATTAGCCGAGGGCCGCGCGGATTGGCCGGCCTCCAGCGGACTCCGGCGGCCTATGCAAATGAGGCCGCGCTCGCAATTAGCGGCCGCGCCGGCGAGGAGGGGCCGCGGCGCCTCGGGACCGACCGGGGCGCGCGCTGCCCGGCGCCGCCTCACATCGCGGGCTCCGGCGCCGCGCTCCTCGGCTGCCCCCGCTGCGGCTCCGGCGGGCCCGGGTACGGCGCGGGCCGCGGTGGCCGCCGCTCCGCAGGGCGCAAGCAGCAAACTTTGGCGGCGTCCGCGCGGCGCCGTCTCCGCCGGCGCGCCGAGCTCGCCCCTTTATAGAGTGTCTGCGCCGCCGCCCGCGCCCCGCGCCGCGCCCCCCCGCCGCCGCCGCCGGGCAGCCCCTCCCGGAGCGAGCGGCCGCGGGCAGGGCTCCGGCCCGGCGCCTTTGTCTCTGCCCGGCCGCTCGGGCGCCTCCCGCTACGGGAGCGCGGGGTCCGCCGGCCGCCTCCGCTGCTCCGCCGCGGTTCACGGCGCCGCTCCGCGCAGCGGCCCCGCTCGGGCTCAGGTGCCCCCCGCTCTCCGGACCTTCTCGCACGGCCCCGCGTCCCCTCCGCGGGCTCCCACGGCGGCCGGCCCGGCTCGGAGTCTCGCGGCCGGAGCGGAGCGGAGTGCGCACGCCGGGGTGGCAGGACTTCGGCAAGACCAACTTTCCGGTTCGGAAGCGGCGCTGGCCGCGCGGCTCCTCCTCCCTCTCCCTCCCTCCCCTGCGTGCCCCCTCCCCTCCGCTCCCCCCTCTCCCCGCCCCCCAACCCGCGGACCCCACCGACTCCTGAGCGCCCGCCCCGCCCGCCGCAGCCACCGGGGCCGCCTCGCGCCCGCGCCAGTCCGCCGGGGCCTCTTCTCTCCTCCGGCGGCGGCCTCTTAAATGCAGGAGAGGGAGGGGACCGCAAGGCCCCGGTATCCCCACCCAGTCCCTGTTCCCCACGAGCGCGGTGGCCCAGGCGCCCGCGGAGTGGGCAGCGATCGCGATAGAAAGTTCCAACTCCACCAAAGTCCCGCGCGTGGCCCACCGTGTCCCCGGGATTTCGGGGATGACCTGGGGGCCAGGTGAGGGGTTGCGCACTTTCGGATCGGCCCCACGCCCCCAGGGCAGCTGGCGCGGCGCGCTCCCTGCACCGGCGCTCGCCCCCTCGCCCGCGGTCGCACGCACGCGCTCTCGCCCCGCGTGCACAGGCGCGCACTCCCACCCGTGGCCGTGCACCCGCCGCGCGCTCTCCCGCCCGTGTCCTCCCTACCCGAGCGGCAGCCAGAATGTGTCCCAGGCCCGCTAGCCGCCGCTCCCGCGACAGTGCCCGTCGCCCTAGTGCGCCTTTTTTCATTTCCTAAATTTCTGATTTTTGCCCTTGCAAGTGGCCCTGACTGGTGCGAAGCGTCAGCACAGATGGCCTCCTGGAGCTTCCCGAGTCGTTCGCTGGGGGAAGCCAGCGGCGAGCAGCCGGCCCGGGGTGTTCCGAGGGCCGCCAGCTCCAGGCAGGGCTGGTGGCGGGGGGTCTGCCTGGGGGAGGAATCCCCGCCTGCTCCATCGGACCCCGGCCTGGCGCGGTTCGCCGCGCTCGGCGGGCTGCCTTCCATTCTAGAATCTTCCCGCTTGCTTGCTTCCCAGCCCGCGTTCTCCCGCCCGCCTTTAATTGTGTAAGTTTGACGAAGTCAGAGCTTTGGGTTCCAGGAAAAGCGCTGGAGAGTCTTAGAGGAAGAGAGGGCGCAGGTTGGGGTCATCTCCAAACATCCCCATCGCCACTTTTGGAAAAAAAGAAAAACTAAAACACCCTTAAGGTTGGTTTCATTTTGCCTTTTGGTGGCAGGCGTATTCATTTGGGTTATTTTTTTTTCAAGACAGACAAATAAAAGATGTTTGAAATCTCGAGTTATCCGGTTTAACATACACATCGAAGGCGCTTTTCCAGTTAAGCTACGGGGGAAATGTTTCTATCTCGCGGTTAGGCTGCGAACTTTTGCAGATGCTCAGGCTTTGGGGGGATGCTCCGGCATCCAGGCGGGGAAAAGTTTGCAGCCTGGGCTTTGGGGCGTGCGGAGGCGGGGGGCGGGGGGAGCACGAATTTTTCTGAGAAAAGAGGGGCAAAGAGACGTTGCGGGTGGGGAGAGAAAAAAGGAACGCAGCGGGGAGGCGGGAAAGCAGCTTGGAGAATGCGAGTTTCTGGCAGAATTTACAGGATTAAAGAGTTTGGGGAAGTCGCAGAGCTGCAGCGGAAAGGCAGGGATCTGAGACTACTTTCGAGACCGCTGGTGGGCCAGAGATGGGGTTGAAGGTGTCCTAGCTTTCATGGCCTGGTTAGTCATGTCACTCTTCTCTTTTTTTCTTCCTTACCACTACTACTGGTTATTCTATTTTTTTTTTTTTTTTAACCGACACACATTGGGGAGAAGCAGGAGACTGAGGTTCCCACTGCGTCTGACGCCTGTGGAGCAAGTCCAGAGCCAGCTGGACTCGCAGCCTCTGGGCCCGGCGGCACCAACTCCTCAGTGGGTCATTTTAAGCGCGCTGCGCCCACCTTTTCTGTGGCGTAAGGCCCGCGCCCCCTGTCCCGCACCCCTCTCTCCAACAAACTGGCAGGGTTTCCTGAGGTCTTTCTGGGGCTTCCAAACGCAACTGTTTAATGTCATCGATATGTTTTGCATTTCCTACAAGGTGTGGACGTGGGAGGATCTCCTAAGTCCCTTCAACGAAGGCAAGCGTGAGGCTCTGGCCCTTTATTTGTAAGAAGCAAGCCTTCAGATTGCAGAAGTGTCGCGCGGGTCGCCGTGTCATGCGCGAGTGGGAGATGGAGGAGGCTGGCACGGCGCTTCCGTGGACGCAAGTGAACCAGGCATGAAGGCAGGGTGCGAGCTATGCCCTTGGCCCAGTCCGGCGTGGGCGCTGTCCCGGGTTCCGGGCGGCGTGGGGTGCAGAGAACCGGAGAGTTGCGGGCTCCCCAACGCAGGCTGGGCTCTGGGATTTCGTTGGAAGATCCGGCAGAACCTTGGAGGAGAGGGCCTGGGAGGCTGTGCGTGCAGCGGAAACCTGTGCGAATGTCCCCACAGCTGAAATGGTGCGCACGAGTAATTTCTGCGGCGTACCCTTTTAAAAATTGACCTAAGTGAACAAGATCAATTTTTTATTTCAAAGCAAAGGTAGAAGACAAAAGGCATGCGACTTCCTGACTGGCTTGTTCCTCCTTGTTTTCCTTCCCTGCACTCGGATCAGAAACTTTTCTTTAATTGCTCTTATTCAGTGCGGCAACTTTTAATAAAAGCGCTTGTATCGTGAGCCTGAGTTGCAACCATAGATACATTGCGAAGTGACAATGTGTCCATGGAATATTTTCACAGATGAGGCAGGATGTGCTCTCTGGTCGTGCCCATGTTAAAGGGACGCTGGGAAGTGTGCCTGTGCGGTGCAGACTCGGAGGGAGTGAGACACACACACGCGTCACCACATGACCACTGTCTATTAATACTGTCATACCTAAACACTCGAAAAAACAAAAGTTGCTTTTCTTCCCTGTAATTAAATCTAATTTGTTAATTGTCTTTCCTCTTGCAATGTTCTTTTCATCTTAAGAGGTGACACATTATTATTTTGTCTGTCTAATATTATTTACAAATTAATGTTGTATATTTTACGTTAGTGAAACATATAATTAGGCGTTTGGTTCAATCCGTATCATTTATTCAAATAAAACAAAGCCTATCTGCAAGACTGATTGGAAGTTGAATAGTTGGTTCTAATTCACCATCGCAGTCACAGTGTATTGAAGCTACCTGGCTTCAGAGTCACAGAAGCTAGCTGTACCTACGGTGTATTTGACGCTTTGTTTACAAGTGTTTATTTTCCCCAACCACTTAATGAAAAAAAGTATTCAAATATGAGGCCTTTCCTTTTCTGTCTTCTATCACTCCTCCCCCCACCCAAAGTTCCTTTCTTCTGCTCTCTGGACACCTCTCTGGTTCCTCCCCAACCCCCAAGTTTTGTTTTAGGTTCTTAGGGTTAAATCCAGCATGATTTTGTGCCTTTAATGCTGTGACAAGTGACTGCTAATTGGTTCTCACTTGAGCAAAGATATTACCATACTAATATTATTATTGGTAAGAAGAGGTAATTGATAACACCACCTGCCACTCTGGGGCAATCAGGATGATAAATGTTTCCATCAACAGGAAATCTGTGCTTGGTGTGCCACAGCCCAACGCAAACAGCATGTCAAGTGCCAATTATAAAGACGTTGCTTTTTCTATTACATTGTGGGGGGCTAGAAAACATGTAGCCAAAAATTATATTTATGGATTTTTAAAAACGCTTTTTCCAATCCTGTGTTCGCCTACTTGAAGATGACTTTTCCCATAAAAATAAAATGTTCTACGTAAATAAACCAGCACATTGCTAACTGCCCTGTCCGCACTGGATACAACTGCTGTGAAGTCCTTTGCTTTCAGAGCTATGGAGATAAATAAATACGCCTAAATATTTTTAACAGATGCGAGCCGGTGTGGAGTGTGTCAGTTCATCTTGGTTGTGTGCTCCGCAGCATTCCTGAATGTTTTTTCCAGGACACCGTAGCTTCACCTTAGGCATCAGAGGCAAACATTCCTTGGCTTTTTATGGCATACACAGAAACATCAGCTCACGGTCGCCTTCGCACGGAGGGATGCAAACGGCGGTGAAGGACTTCTCCCCTGATGGCTGAACCGTGGCTCTGGCAGCGTGTGACCAGGACGGGCATTTCAGCACGTATGATTGCATAAATGATGCGAGCAAGTTAAAACTTTGACTCCTTGCCTACAGGGAGGCTCAAACGATTATTATTAGCTTGCATTAATACATGCAGGCCTCAAAAGGCGAAATCAGCTATTGATAATTGCAAGAAGTATACAGCAGCTACTGTATCGATCGGCTTGTCCCTTATTCCCCTGGTATGGGAGAGATAAGAAGACTCACTCTTTAGTGCAATATAATTTCTTTTGACCTATCTGCTTGCTACAGACTTATGATGAATAGCCAGAGTGGTTAAAGTCCTTTATCACGAAAGTTACCCCTTGATATAATATTGATTCTTTATAACTAGCTCCAAACACAAAAATCAAACTGTCCACTTGACCATCATCATCATCAATATCATCACAAAGCCCCTGGAATAAAGATCAGCGCCAGCCTGAAAACGCTTTCTATAATCTTCCCGGCTAATCTTTATTTGCTGATGATGAAAAGAAAAAAAGAGGGGGAGGGAGAGTGAGTGGAATGTCATTTGGACGAGCACTGTATTTATATGTGTACATACATTAGGTCAAGGCAAGGCGGCCTCTCCCCATGAGGACCCGCGGTCAGCGTGGTCATCCCCCGCAGCTCTCGGTCTCCCGACCCACCCCGGGAGGCCCTGGGGTTAGGGGAAAAACAAAAAGGGCTCCATGCGCGCTGTCCCATATTGGCGACAGAGTGAGCCCACAGCCTCCTGCTCGTTGGAAATCGATGCCACGCGTCCTCGGCGCTCAGGCCGGCCCTGCGCTCACGGGAGCACCGGCTGAGAGGGGCGCACGCCGGGTGGGCTCGCCGGCGTGGAGGGGCCGGGCTGGGAGGCGCACATCAAAGGCCGCCGGTGCAGTGCGTGTGCGTTCCCCTCAATTAACGGCGTTTCCTGTCCCCTCGCTTCCCTCCGTCCGCCCCGCCCCCCGCGCCTGCCCGGGCTGCCTGAGCTTGGGGACGAGCCTTTGCCCGCGCGCGCGTCCGTGTGAGTGCGCGCGTGCGCGTGCGGGGGAGTCCCAGGGGCGCTCTGGGAGGGGCGCCCAGTGGAGGCTAAGAGGATCGCTGGACCCCGAGACCCCGTCGAGGCCGTTTCGGGCGCGTTTTGGGGCGAGTGAGGCTTAGGGGTGCGGTGGGTGGAACCGCAGGGAGGACCCCAACTTCTGAGTCCTGGCACGTTCTCTGCGTCCGCACCCACCGGCTGCGATGCTGGCCTCGAGGCGCGTCTGCCCGGGGGACCCCACATGCAGGGGCTCTGGGCACCCTCATTTCACACGCCCCGGCCCAGTCTGTCCTCACGGCGTTTCCGCGACCTCAGAGGTCGAGCGCCAAATGGAGGCGGGGAGGTGGCTGTGAAAAGAATGTGGCCACAGGCGCGGGGGGCGGCAGCGCGGGGATCCCGCCCCGCAGTTTCCTAATTAGCGCGGCGGCGGGGTCCGTGGGCGGACGGGGGCCCCCCCGCCTCCGGGCTCCACTCCGCTGGGAGGACCGGTCCTCGCTGCCCCCACCGTGTCGGTCCCGCCCCAGGGCGGTCCCAGGGCTCGGCGCGGGTCCCAGCGGGGCTCAGGCACCCCCGGGTGGGCGGCGCCGGCGGGGAGGGGGGGCTTTGGGCATCAGGCTCCAGGCCGGGGTCCCGCTCGCTCCCGGGGGTGGGCTGTGTTCCCGCGGCCCCCTCGCAGTCGGAGGACTGGCCGCTTCCCCGCCGTCGCCCGGGGCTGTAACGCCTTGGCGGTCACCAGGTCTGGCCCGGCGTCGCCACTGGATGGTGGGAGCCGGAGGACCGGCCTGGGCGAAACCCCACAACGAATTTCAGAACCGCTTCCCTGGCCATGGCGTCCTGCAGGGGCGGAGCGGGGGGGGGGTAGACCTGAGGCCTTCTGGACGCCCAGTCCCCGGCGGGACCCCGCGGTCTTCCCTCGGCCTGCAGGGCAGAGGCTGGGAGGGGAGCGCGCGCTGGAAGCTCCTGGCGTGAGAAATGCCGTGTCCGCGTCTCGGCTCTCGGCCCCTCTGTGTCCCGGACAAGCCCGCATGGGAGCCCCGCGGGCTGGCTGTGTGCGCGCCGGATGCGGGGACGCCCCCTCCGCACTTCCTGGCTGTGGAGCTGCTCTGTAGGACACGTTCAGAGAAGCTTCAGAAGCGGGCACAACTCTGATGGAACCTTTTCCATGGTTCTTGGCCTCTCATGATCACAAATGCCGTTTGTCTTGGCTCCAAGCTCTGCAAAAGTGCCGGACTGAATTCCGCAGGATGCTGCGTTTGTGTGGAGGCCTTCACCACAAGGTCCCTGACCGCTGAGCAGGGGACAAAGAGGACCCAGTACAGGCCGGGTAGCTCGCGCTCTCGCTGAGGATGGGCGTCTTCTCTGTGACCGATTGCGCTGAGCTGCTGGCCCACTGATCCCACTGGGGTTGTCAGGGCAGGTCAGGGACAGAAGAGGCACAAAAGTAAAATAGATTAGAATCAGCTTAGGCACAGTCTCCAGGATGAAAGCTAGCGTCAGAGAGCAGAGTGAGTGTCTCATTCTCAAGCTGGGCCATGTGGCTTCCTCAGCTAAATACTCAGCAGGTGTGTCCAGGGGCCACGTGCTGGTGCCTGGATGCCTGGGCTGGATAGAGCAGGTGCCAGGTGTGAGGCCTCCTCGAGACCTTCGCAGAACTAGAGCCAGAACTGCAGAGCCTGTGCGGCCTGGTGAGGTGAGGATCTGAGGGGTCCTGTGTCTCCCTGTACCCCAGTCCCGCCTCTGCAGTTTTGCTTGGTAACACCATTCTCTGCCTTCCACTGTGGATGTCTGACTCATCAGCACTTTTCTGCTTGAAATCAGAAATGGAAGAATGCAAGGCACATCTTCTCCAGGAAAGGACAGTGTCACGGAAACAATGCTGAGGCCTTCGCTGATGCGGACGCACAGGCTCCCAAAGAAACGGATATTCTTGGAACCAGAAACTTATACAAAGGAATTCTTTATAAAAATGTCCACCCCCGGGTGGAAGGTGGATTTGCCTAAAGTCTGGGTATGACTGGATGCTGTGCAGGTGCCCTCTGCTTTAAGAAAACCTACTAAGTCAAAATTCATCAGATGGAAAAGTTGAAGGGATTTTTCTCTGCTTGACAAAGGACTCTTCACTTTCCAGGAGTGCTCGTTCCAGCTCTGAAGTAGCCAGTTGTGTCACGTGCTGTGAGGTTGGCCACGTGCAGTGCAGTGTACACTGAGATGCCAGTCGCACCTCACTCAGCCCTGCTCACCCACATGCCCGGACCTTGGGACTGCTGTTCTGGGCCCGTCAGTGAGGAGCAGAAATGCTGTCGTGTTTTAGTACGGTGATTCCTCCAGGAAGGGACAAGTCTTCATGACACTCCTGCTTCGTGATCTGGGCAGGAAACAGGGGCTGGACAGTGGTGGCACTGCCCACCCTCAAATGAAAGCGACCTCAGAGGTTTGGGGAGGAAATGATAGGCTGGAAGAGGGGGCCCCAGGCAACGTGAGGAACGCAGATGGCAGTGGAAGTGCCCATGACAGTCACGTGGCCCTGTGGGACCCCTGTGATTGAAGTAGGGTGGAGGGCCCTGTGAGGCTTTGGGACCACAGAGAGTGGTGGTGGAATGAAGGTGCCAGACCGGCTTGGATGTGGAGGGTGAGTGGGAGAAGGCAGGACCCCCAGTGCTTGGGGCCTGTGCAGTGGGCTTGCTCTGGGCATTGCAGACAATGGGAGGCTTGGGGAAGAGGGGACCTTGGTGGAGCTGCCAGGGGAGTGTGGGGTTCCAGGTCAGCCCACTCAAAATCCCCTCTCAGAGGTTCTGAAGGCCTTAAGGAAGAGCCGAGACTTGAACACAACACATCCAGACAATAAGACACATGCGATAGGACAAAAATATGTCCATGGAGCAGGTCAGGACCCGTCCCTCCCAGGCCTCAGCGTTTCCCAAAACACCGCCGCTCTGAGACTGCTTGGGAAACAGACTTGCTAAGGGGCACTGTTTATTTCTTGTGGCAAATTTCAGAAGGGGTCATGATTGCTCACACACTCAGCGCACCAGTGCCGCCTCCCGCCCTCAGCGGGACCTCCTCTGTGGACCATGAAGAGCCCCGTTGCAGCCCATCACCTGCCGCATTGCTGTTGCTCTGGCAGGTTTCATGGTCTGTGCCTCTCATATGCGTTTCACAGGCAACCTTTAAAGACCCAGGTCGGGAGGTGCAGGCCCATGTTTTCTAAGCAGATGTCAGAGCCACTGGGAGTGGCCATAAATGATTCTTTCGGCACCCACTGTGTGCAGGGCTTGGTGGGTGTCAGGTTGGGATGGGAGTGATTTGAGATCACACGTGTGTGGGCACGCATGTGTGCACACATGCACGTGGTACATATGTACATATATATCATGTGGTTCATATATACCACAGAATACTGTGCAGCCATAAAAAGAATGAGATCATGTCCTTTGCAGGGACATGGATGGAGCTGGTGGCCGTCATCCTTAGTGGACTAACACGGAAACAGACAACCGAGTGCGGCACACTCTCACTTGTAAGTGGGATGTAATGATGAGTGTGATGGGCTCAGAGAGAGTAGGGAGGGAGGGGGAGGAGCAGGGAAAACAACTGTTGGGTACTGGGCTTAGTACCTGGGTAACTAAGTAATCTGTACAACAGACCCCTGTGACACAGTTTTATCTGTACAACAAACCTGCACATACCCCTGAACCTCAAATAAAACTTACAAAGCAGGAAAAAAGAACACAGTGCCCG